ACTCATCAGACGAAACGCGGAATTTCTTCCACTTCACGCCTGTCTTCTGTGCGGTCGTGGTATTTCACCGGGCGAGCGGGCCAATTCGTGCTCCAGCATAAGCTGGAAGCGGACTCTACCACTGTCAAGAGGTAGAGTCCGCTTGCTAAGGTTACACCGCATGCTCGGCCCGCTACGGATTTTAGTTTGTGTTGTATGATTTTACATAGCGCTTGTCAATCATCCGAGCCGCCTACATTGAAAGATCTCCGGCGCGGGCCAATTAACATGTATACCTAATAATAATATGAAAGGTCTTTTACCTTTAATATTTCAAATCGTACAAGACAATCAAACGATGTTCGTTTTGAACGGGGAACACCGACAACCAACCTTACTGTACTTTATAAAACGTAAGTTATGTTGACCTTGACAATGTAAAATACTTGATTTTATCTTCTCAGTATTACTTCGACAGTTTAAAAGCTTGTACTTTACGTGAATCGATTTTAATGAAGAATGCGGTTTGTTTTTTCAAGTTTAATTTTTATAAACATGGCATTTGCAGGCATTTATGTTCATCCAAGAGGACTTGTTTATGCTTTTGAACGATATCCATATTTTGTTTGTTTATAAATACACTAGCTGACGCCCGCACCTTCGTCTGCGCGGCATAAAAAAACAATATATATATATATATGTTCTTCCAGAGCATATTCTACATCTGTACCAAATTTCAGCGAGATCCATGCAGACATTTTGGAGATACCTTCAAACAAACATGCATCTAAACATTCCCATTTATATGAGTAAGAAGTAAGATATAAAATGGTCAAGTAAACAAAGTATTTACGATCACATTTATCATAAGAATTGCATTTAAATTTACTATTATATTTATTTAGTTGTTTGAAGTACAAGGTTATGTTCATAGTACTAATGTAAGGGCCGACTTGACCTAACAATATCATTGACTATATTGTATAATAATTACGTTCAATCAATGGAATCTGAGTCTAGCTTGTTTGCGTGAAGGAGAAGAAGGAGAAGAATTCGTATTCAAAAAAGTCCCTTAATTCTTAAAACACTCAATTATTAAAAAAATTAATACACGTATCTAGGACATGTATAGGTAGAACATAGTCAAATCTTATATCTTTAAATGAGCAATTCTTGTATATAAATATATAATCGGAATCTCGAAATCGGCTCCAACGATTTTCGTAAAATTTAGTATATAGGGTGTTGCGGGGGCGATAAATCGATCTAGCTAGGAATCATTTTTAGAAAATGTCATTTTATTCGTGTTTTATCGATAATCAACTTAAACATAAACTTAACTTTTTCTATAGGTAAGATCGAAAAATATTATTCATATTTCAACATTTTATTAGTAATCCGTACTTAAATTTAATTTCCAAAAAACACAATTTAAAAAAAAAATACCGAGCAAAGCTCGGTCATCCAGGTACTATTCCTTAATCATAAACATCCACTTTTTTGACTGTCTGCTTGGCGTGGAATGCCACAGGATTCTTGTCGAATTTCATAAATTAAAAGTATTTTAAACATTTGTGTATTATAAGTTTACTTAGATCTGTTATCAAGACAAAAAAAATGGAAAAAATATAAGTAGTTAGACAAGTAAATTATTCAAACTTTCGTGAGACATTATACTAAACTGATATATAAACACGGCTAAACACTCACGTATATACGTCCGGTGGCGGCACCGACTAGTTTCGAGCCCATCGGGGGCCCTTCATCAGGATGAGTGGTACTGGTATTATTTCGCGGACGCGGCCCGTCGCTCACCGGACGTATATACGTAAGTGTTTAGCCGTGTTTATATATCAGTTTAGTTAGACAAGGACAAAATATCCAAACACAATTAAATACGTATGTATAATCCTTTATTTATTTTATCTTGTACATATAAAAACGTGATTTCAGAACCTTATATATAAGCGACCTATTAAAGTTTCTTGGACCAGTGTTACTCTGACTTTAGATAAAGCTTGTTGTGTTCAATTAAAATGAGGTCGGAAATCGGTTTATTATTATTGTTTTTTATAACTACGGTGTTAGCAGACACTGTGCTTTATCCGCGCGGTTGTATTTACGACCATATAAATAGAAAATGTAAGTATTTTTTTTATTCTCTATTCAATCTCTCTTATTACACGTACGTAAAGTTGGTCTACAAGGTTATATAAACTTATATAGTGTAAAGCCTCTATAAATGGGCTATCCTACAAAAAAAGAATTTTTGAAATCGGACCAGTAGTTCTTGAGATTAGCGCGTTTAAACAAATATATGTCTGTCGTCAATCCTAATTAGAGGTGGCGGAAGGATTTTTTTAAGCGACTTTTAAATATTTAGTCGAGATGAGAAAATAACTACGGTCAGCTTAAAACAACAACAAAGATACTGGCTTTAGTTCTATTCACCGATAGTCTTTGCGACCAATTTTATTTAGCGTTCAATCAGTATTCGCCATAATATGCCGTTTTAACTGATATATTAAGAAATTTCACTATATCATTACTAGTAGTCGCCTGAGACTCCGTCCGCAAGGAGGGGAAAAAACTTAATTAGTAGCCATGTGTTCTTCCCGACTATGCTCAACATCCATGCCAAATTTTAGCGAGATCCATGCAGCCGTTCAAGAGATACCTTCTAACAAACATCCATTCATCTATAGATAGTAAGAAGTAAGATTTAATAACTTATTTTCTAGGTCGCAGAGAATGCGAAGTAGGTACCCGTGCATATACGCCGGGCTGCGGTCATTTGACGAAGGAGGCGACCTGCGAGGAACCGAATCCTAAACCGGACCCTAATGCCATCATCTGTGATTACTCAGCATGCTATTGCGAGCCCCCTACTGTCAGACATTCGAAGTCTAATAAGTGTGTGCTACTTGAAGAGTGTGATAAAGAACATCATGTAAAACAATAAGACTGCGATTTATATATCTTGACACTTGTGCAAATAAAAAGCTTTTTTACTATTTTATTTTACTATTATATATATATATATATATATATATATAATATTAAACTTATAATATTATTAAGTAGAGGATGAGAGGTGCAATTGGATCCAGATGAGGGGATACATGGGAAGGGAAACGCATCTGCGATTGCAGATGTCTATGAGCAACGGTCTCTTGTACATTTCTTAATTAAAAAAAAAACGTTGTTTAATTTCTAATCTTAATCAGTAGTTTGGTTAAAAATAAAAGGCCGGCAACGCATCTGCGGTTCCTCTGGTATTGCTGATGTCCATGGGCGTCGTTGAACACCTCGGTGTTCCCGCTGCTCGTTTGCCCCCTTCTGTTATAAAAAAAAGTAATGACCTAGATAAACCGTTATTATTATTTCTTGGTATCTTAATGCTTTTATAATTGATGTTATATAAATATCGTTATTTAACAACGGCCATGTCAATGTATAAATGATACTGAACTCCATTAAGACGTAGATTACGCTAATGACACATATTATTGATAAAATTTAATTACTAATTGTTTTAAATTGAGAAATAAAATGAAAATAAAGCTATTATTTATTTACAAAGCTATTTGCTATCAAATGGCTCTGCAAGTATTCCTTACAATAACCTAACCTTAAATTAAAAGACAAAAATTTTATCACGCCAATTTTACACGTTAGTTGTGTTGCTATTTTTGTGTTTAAGGCGCTAAATTTTCCATTACAACAATGTCTTTTAAAATGTCAGGTGGAAAAAACGTATAATAGATTGGATCACAATAATAAAAATATGAACTCTACTTTTTGAATTCTGACAGTTCTTGACTGTCGTGACTATATTCCTTTTCAATTGAAAACATTTATTTACCAAAGAACGTCATGGCAATAACTTTTCCATGGAGTTCAGATTTAAAAAAAATCTTTTTAAATGGAATTTTTTAATTACATCCCTTCGAAAGCGACGTTCGAATGAAAATAAAGTGGGATAAAGACACGATTATGAGAGGCAGCAGCAACGCTTTCGGCCTTAAATAAAGTGCCAAAAGTTAGCATTGACGGGAGAGGCTGCCGATGAATTATGTAAAAGCGTGGCGAGCTTTGATAAAAACTAACAAAAGAGTTCGTACGGTAAGGGTGCGTCTTCACTGAACTGGAAAAATTGGATATAACTTGTTCATGCATCTCTATTGTCAATTTCCTTCAACAGAACTTTGAACTCGCTTTTCTTATCTTCAATACCATATTGTTTATTATTGATGCAAATATATAGTTTTTTTTATATCATAAGCAGGCAAACGAGCGAGCGGCCACGTGAAATCGCTGAAATAGCGAAGTGACCGTTGCCCACAGACATAAGCAATTGCATATGCGTTGCCTACCTTTAATCGACGGAGAGGATGCACAGAAAGAAAATATTTTCCCTTCCCATGCATCCTCTCATCCGGAAAGTCCACTTCCATTCCCATCCTTTCATTGTTAAAAAAGGGTGGGAATAGAAAGAGGACTAAATTATGCCTCCGGGACGCACAAAATATAGTTTAAAAAATTATGCTTATTTTAGATTGCATAGATAGAAAGTCAAACATGAAATGGCCAGATTCTTGTATATTTACTACAAACTTAAAATAAAATAAATATAGAATAGTTAACTACTTTTTCATTGTTTGTTTGTGTAATCGCAACCTAAAGATTGACCAACCGTTAAATTCATAGATTTGTATCTCTGTAGGCATATAGTTAAAGTAATTTTATTATTCACTAGCGGTGGACCTCGACTTCGTCAGCCTATAATCAAAATCAAGTCTCGTCAAAATCGGTCCAGCAGTTCCGGAAATTACCAGGAAAAAACGCGGCGTTGCGGACAGAGATACAGACCGACAAACATTTTAAAAATTGGTTTTTCGTCATCAGCTACGCATATTCTTTTTTACCAATATTGCATTCTGTCAGAGTAGTAGAGTACGGCCTACATATTCTGCCAACCGTCCATAGAGAAACGAGTAGGATAAAGAGGATTTACTCATAATGAAATTAATTACCAATAGTAATAATTTTATCTATACCATAAACATAAAAGTACTCCTCGTATTTTTGTTTTAATACATTTAAATACGTTACACATGGTTCGTCTTAAATCTTAAATCATCAAGTCTTAGTAGGCCGATGAAATATGTTTCAAATTTATTTTTTAATTAACCTTCCCACTCACATTGTAGGTAATCGCAAAGCATGATTGTTTTCCTTCCCACGTAGCGTACCCTTAATATTTACTTACACGCAGGTGGAGTGAATAAGTAATCCATTTCCTACAACTAAATCGTTCGTGAAATGGATCCCGCGGCCGGGTCGCATCACTCGGATGGAGTCACGGTGAACCAATAAACTGTTTTACCCCTACCAACGATTTACGCGTCGATTAAATCTATACATATTAATAAAATGAGTGTCTGTATGTAATATCAAAAAATATTATAAATAGACATGGTGAATTGACGGAGCTGATATCGATAAACCAATTCTTAAAACTGTCTATGTCTGTCGGCAAGGCCGTGTTTGTTCCAGGTAATCTCCGGAACGACTAAACCGATTTTGACGGGACTTGGACTGTAACGTAGCTGATACACGCGGGCATATTATTGGCTGTTTTAAATTCTACCACGATGAAATCTCAGACATAGACAGATAACACAAAATTAGAAATAATGACCGAAAACTTTAAAACCAAATCGAAGTTTAGGATTACTTCGTGTGAAAGGGGCTGAAAGAAATATCGCCCTCTGAATAGACTAGGTATTTCTATTGATGTTCTAATCGGTTCAATTAAAATACCTTTTGTAATCTTTTTTTATCTTTTTGGCCAAAACTCTTTAAACAATAGTATCATTCGAATGAAATTCATGCATTGATATTCGATAATGTCCCGAGTTTATTAATCTTCCATCGTACAAATGGTCGACACGGAAAACTTGGCTCCATGCGTGTGGGAATCAATTGAGAGGAAAATTGTTCTTGTTATGAGCGAGCTGACGACCACTACTACTGGTTTCTATTCATTTTCGACTTCAATAATATTCAAATAATGTTTTAAAATCTATAAATTCTTCCTTATTGTATATTACTTTAAGAGCCTTTTTATTTAATAATGCGTTTTAATCAATTACTTATAGATAATACGCAGTCGAAAACATCACCAAAATATAGCGTTTGTGCCCTTGCCCTTCTATTCCATGTGTTGCAATTTTGCTTGTTTTGAATAAATATACATTTACTCGTATGCGTTATTTGTACCCATTCTTTTTTCTATTTAATATTTAAATAATTTTCGGATCCTGTCAAGTGTTTACTTTTCTTCTTTCTCATCAGTCCATTAGTTCCTAATTAATTCACCAGGTGGCGATTAATCGTAAAATGCTAACAAATGGTAGGGGATCGGATGTCGGATCTTTTGCGTGACTAAACTTATATAAAATAAGACAAGACATTTTAATAGCTGGGTTTATTCATCGGCTTTATAGTAGAATAAGAAGTAGGTAATTCTTAATAGTTGCATGGTTTTATCGTTTTCTCTAAGGTTATTTCATGGTTAAAATATTAGGTAAAATATTAGCCTTATTTCATAATAATAAAATGTCTTTTTTTATAGTATAAGGTAGCAAATATGTAAGTGGCCATCTTTCTCTACACGCGAAGTAACCGCTGACTGTAGACGTCTACAAAAAGTTGAAAGTTTCCTGAACTGTTGCCTATTCTAAATGGAGATCTTCCGCATTTGACGCCCAGGGCTGGGCATAGGAGGCATATGCCCAGAATGTCCTGTGCTACTCGCATCCAGAATACTCCTGCAACCTTCACCAGATCAACAGTCCATCGGGGATATTTACTTGTATAATTGGAAATTTTCCACACGCTTTATAATACAAACCCATTCATATCTTCTTTTCTGACAGTTGCTAATATTTATGTGCAGTCTTGGACTTATCGTGTCTTCAACATTTGAACTCTGATTCTCTTGATTTTTTATAATTATACGATTGTAAAAACAAGGTTTATGTATAAATTGATTTAAGGAAAACTGCAGTCTATATTGTGTATGGTTGCATTAAAGTTGTGTATACATTTGTGTCTATACAAGATGCAATATTGCTCTTTGGCCATCCTATTTGTGATATTCCTGGTCTCCGCAGAGGATTTACATCCACGCGGATGTATTTATATTGACGGAATTTGTAAGTAAAATTTGAGTTTCAATTGTTTTATTTATAGCTACACTTTGGGAGTTTTTTTTTACATCTATGAGTGCAACTCTGTGTAATAAATACAAGTTAGTTTACTGGTCACAAAGATGCCTTTGTGTGGGTCCCTTTTTGATACTTTTTATATAAAGGAATAAATAGCACAACTAAAAAAAAGGAATTCAAAAGAAAAAAGAAACATTTATATATCATATAAAAAAGCACAAAAATAAAGTTTAATGATGTTCAGCTTTTTTCATATAATTTTTTTTAAGAAAATAGAGTAATTCATTTTTTTTAAGGAATATATTCTATCTATAAAGAAAGTATCTTAAACTGATAAACAGAAGTCAAAAGGCGTGGCCTAAATTTGTTAATACTTAGTAAATTAATAATTCATGGTATTAACACCTGCCTGTTTGAAAGTTGGCGGCTCGATCGCGCCTTGCAGGCTAATCCATTAAACCTCACAACTTAAAGCACCGGAGTGACGTTAACTTAAGTTATATTAAGTCATAAGCTGAAGTTATACTAGTTCATATTTCCTTACATGCTTTGTTTTGAATACGTTCATAAATGGCGACCCGCCTCAGCCTTGCTTTGTTTCCACGTCGTATTACATACAATCTCTTGTATGAAAACTTATTTTATTCAGGTCAAGAGGATTGTGAACTGGGGACCCACGCTTACACCACTGGCTGTGGTCATCTGACACCGGAACCCACGTGCGCGGAGCCCCATCCAAAGCCGAGGAGAGGTCGTATCTGTGACTACTCCGCCTGCTATTGTGACCCCCCAACTGTACGCGACCCTAAAACTAAGAAATGTGTTCAACTACATGAATGTAACCATGATTAAGTGCAAAAAGGACTTATAAAATGAAAAGAGTTATATCTCTTCACAGTCTCTTTAAGAATTTTTACTAAATTACTAGCTTTTTAATATTGTTTGTTGCACTAATTGTGTCATTTTTAAACGGATTTATTTGGTATGAATAAAGTTATTATGTAAATAGTTTTATAATTACATTTTCCATTGGTACGTTGATTTTCGACGCAATGAGTCCATTTTTCTTTAACTTTGCTTTCTTTCTACATTTAAATATTTAAGATAAACAACAGGGTAAATACGAGCGCGAGTGCTATTCTCTACACTTCTATAACTTACAAAGGCATACAACAAATCCGTTGCACTCTAAAGTTTGCGAACACGACTTTTGTAAGAAACGAACGAGTGTCGAATGTACAGTCGCCTTCGTTGGCGGTGTTCTGGTTACAGAAAAATTACTTTGAATCTCGCAAATAACTTAAACTGCATCCCTTCTTTAATATCCATACATATAAATGAAATTGGAGTTTATATATGGAATATCGATAAAAATCATATACATTATATGCCATCATATAAGCTACTTTTTTTTAATTCCACACTGACGAAGTCGCAGGCGATCTCTAGTAAACAATAAGTGTTTTGATCAAAATAGAAACATTGCATAGTTACATCATTAATCCTTATATATTCTGTTTTGTAACGCTATTGTTACAAAATTGACCTTTACTTTTATTTTTTAAGCCATACAAGACGTTTAAACAAATATCGCTTTTAAGATGGAACATCGCTAACGACGGCGACTGTACTAAAAAGACATCAAAAACTTCACATAAAAATAAATATCACTATACGCAGTAGAAAATCCATGTTGAATGGATGTGAAAGTGACAAATGAATTATTTATTAAACACGTTCCGAATTCAGGGAAACTTTTTGCGGAAGAAATAAGAATTGGCCGTGTAAAGGATTCCCTTTCAATAATTGAATTGTGGTTTCGTAGATAAAAATGTGTTATGTTTTGTGAAAGCTTTCCATTTTATTCGGAGAAAACGTACAAATCGCGAAACAGTTGAATTCAATTTATCTTATTCTAACTTATCACTAAGTGCCAAAACGTTTGTTTATGTTATAAGATTTCAAGGCATAAATTCGAAAAAAAAAAGAATAAATATTATCTCATGTCCGTCTCCTGGTTCTAATGTACCTCCTCACCAATTTTTAGTTATATCGGTAGAACCGTTCTTGAGTTATAAATAGTGTAACTAACACGACTTTCTTTTAAATATAGATTTCTTGGTTTATAAAAATTACTGACATTAGGTCAGCGTGGTTTACTGAGGCCTAGTCACTCATAGTATAGGTAAAATTCGAGCCACTCTTTGGGTGTACGATCAGTCGACAAGTAACTAAAGAAAGATATATACTAAACATGCTTGTCTATAAAATAAAATATTGTTATAAGCGTTATTTCTTTGTTTCTTGTTTAAAAAATTGTGTTAGCTTTGATATAGCAAAGGGTTTCTTAGAACATAACACAAATCCTGTCACTGTCAACACGGAACTAATAACTCAACTGACAAACTTCGTAGTTATGATTTCACTAGAGATTGGAGTTATAATTTAAGTACAATCTTTCTAAGTTTATCTTATAAGTTGCTTTCTTGTGAGTCTCCATTATTGTAACATAAACAATACCCTGCCCATAGTCATCCGTATTTGCAGACGCGTTGCTTTTCTTTAATCAACAAAGAAGGGGAAAAACAGGATATTTCACAACCTATGTCCCCTTCTCCGCTATATGAAAATACTCTTCCCATCCTATCCTAGTTATAAAGGTAGAAGCGAAAGAGGACTAAAATTAGTCACCGGAACACACATTCATCAGACGAAACGCGTAATTGCTTCCACTTCAGTCTTCTAGGTGGTCGTAGTATTATCGGTTGGGTCAGCCCATTCGTGAAAAAGATTCTATAGCGGTATACCATTGTTAATATTTTGTTAGACAGTTCAATGGATTTACATGAATTATTTATTGTCTTCAAACTCAAAGATAAGGGGCACAAGAAATTATAACAAACGAGGAAAACAAGTTCGTGTCAACTTCTAAATATTCAATGGACTACGATTTCTGTTCAATTTCTTTACTCTTGTATTAAAAATATATATTGTCTCATTTCTTACAAGGGAAAAGAACGAGATAACAAATCCACAGTTAAGGGTTTGTCTAGAATGAATCGAGAAAGAATAAATTTATTTTAATTTTCTGTATAAATATTTCTTTGAAAAATGTAAGATTACATTATTTCTTTTTTAACTATAACTATTTTATTCAAGATAAAGCATGCGTGTAATTAATTTTATTTAGAGTTTGTATAGAGCTGAATCTTATCTCATATTTTCTTTGCGCCCCGGGAGAGTGGGAGGAAGTTTGACATTGTTGAAACGCGAACAAAACTTTTGGATTAAATCTAATTTCACCTGCACGGAACAAACATTAAACAGCCGATGGTTCCCAAAAGAGAAGGCTTATGCTTATTATGTAAGACGCTATTCATACACACAAAACAACGAGCTTTAAACTTTTTTTAGGGTTCCGTACCTCATAGGAAAAAACGGAACCCTTAAAGGATCACTTTGTTGTCCGTCCGTCTGTCTATCAAGACACTTTTTCTCAAAAACGCGTGAAGGTATCAAGCAGGAATTTATTTCTATTTGCAATGTATGTACCTGTGTTATTACCAAATATGTTTAAAATACAAAACACGAACTAAACTATATTCAAAAACGTGTTAATTTTGTATCAAGTCTAATTTAACACGCCAGCATAAAGTAACAATGTCCGCTCTATATGTGACTAGCTGTTGCCCGCGACTCCGTCCACGCGGATTTAAAAAAATTAATAAGTAGTCTATGTGTTCTTCCAGACTTTCTTCTATATTCATGCCAAATTTCGTCGTGATCCGATTAGTCATTCTGGAGATACCTTGAAAGAAACATCCATCCATACATCCAAACTTTCGCATTTATTATATTAGTAAGATTTATCTTCTGTTTTTCCCATGCTGTAAGTCTTTTTAATTAATCAGATTACTTTAAGCTTATCGTATAAAAGTCTCGTTCAAACTCTTAGTATTTTTTTTAATATTACTCGTTGAAAATGTTATATTAAATACAACTCAGACATGATATATTTTCCGGTTGTTTGGTAAAAAAATCTTTCTTATTATCGTAAAAGATCGCCTGCGGTAGACATGTTTATATTTCAGAAAATTCTGCAAATTCTACTAAATAGATAAAATGATTACGATTTAGATATAATACCTTTGATATTAAAATTTTGAACAACCGAAAAGTTGTATAGACATTCCAAATAATCTTTTTATTTAAAATGTCAGATCTACATAAACATACAATATTGGTTTCTCGTTGATCGAAATTCGATCGTTTTTTTAAGTTTATTTTTCGATCAAAATAGTTTATTGAACTAGCTACAAATCTACATAATACAGTTTACAGTGGTAGAGCCCGCTTTAACATCTTCGCACGAATTGGCCGGGCTCGCCCGGTGAAATACCACGATAACACAGAAGACAGGCGTTAAGTGGAAGCTATTCCGCGTGTCGTCTGATGAGTGTGCGTCCCGGAGGCCTTATATAGTCCTCTTTCCCTTCCCATCCTCTTTCTTATAAGGAAAGGATGGGAAGTGGAAGTGGACTTTCCGGTGAGAGGATGCATGGAAAGGGAAAATATTTTTTTTCTTTGCATCCTCTCCTCCGTCGAATAAAGATAGGCAACGCATTTGCATTTGCGTATGTCTATGGACAACGGTCACTTCGCTATTCCAGCGATTTCAGGTGGCCGCTCGCTCGTTTGCCACCTTATTATATAAAAAAAATTATAATAATATAAGCTGCATTAATAATATTATTGACATCAGACCTCAGTTTTAATTTGTAAACTGCTATAACTCTATTAAATGTACAGTCAGAGAATCTGTCGGTGTATCACTTTAAAGGTACAGCTGTTTGAATGTTTTGAACACATTGAGATGACAATGAGTAACAATATACAATAGGACGCAGCTTTTTAATCTGCACACATAGAGTTTAATGTGTTTTATAACCTAAAAATATACCTTAAACAAACACTATAACAATTACGCTATAAATACAGAAACCTTAAAAATGTATCTTATTTTTTGGCATCGACTTTCAATATGTATTACAATTTACTTTACCAAAGTTTGCAGATTTATTTCAATATACTTAAGGTACAATATGTTTCGTTGAATTTGTAGGGAACAGTTTTTGTGACATTCGTACCACATTTTCGGTGATTTGTGGCATCAAATTTCACTTCCATACAATTTTGTTAAAGCTTGACGTCTATCAAAGTCGTGGAATACCTCGTTAACTGATTGACACATACTTACGAAAAGAGGGTCTATTACGAATGTTTGTGGTATGTAATTTCTTTAGAGCGTCGGTGGCTCAGGGGTCAAGCACTTGACTTGTCTGCAGGTCCTGGGCTGGAATCCCGCCATGTACTAAAGTGTTTTTTGATTTCCGATTTACATATGTACATTTATCCGACGTTATTATGGTGAAGGAAAACATCGTGATGCAACCTGCTCATATCTGAGAAGAAATTCAAAGATATGTGTGAAGTCAACCAACATGCTTTGGGCCAGCGTGGTTGACTATGGCCTAATCACCCTTAACTTAGGGTAGGTTCCGAGCCCCTCAGTGGGACTTACAGCGAGCTGATGATGATGAATTTCTTAACGTCATTTAAAAATAATATGTCAAAATTTGTATGATATATGTTGTCGTACTTTACCTCCGATGGAGGGAAAATTTCGGTTACTTCACTTCACATTTCGGTGAAATATAAATTGACGTTCAGAATTAAGTATAAAACTTGTAGCAACATACATGTAGGGTTTCACTTACAATGACACTTGTATTGATACAAATTACTTACTGTCATTTCTCACTCTTAAAAAAAATTAGCAATTTTTACGATTGACATTTTTCGACATACTTAACTATTTTTTTATTTAAAACGTGCTTACTTAAATATTTGGTTAATAAAACTAACGTTATAAAAAGTACACAGATGTAATAAATTCGATGTCGAAGAT